TTGTGTGAGAAAACTATTATATTACCATAAAATATGCATTATAAATGATAATTGAATAAAATTTCTCTGTAAATGTTTAAATGGCCCATCAGGTAGTAGAATGTACTTCAGCAGTACATGAAGTTTTGATTGTCTTCTCAGGATACTATGTTCGACCAAAAAAAATTAGTCAATGTATTTTAGTAATTTAGAATAGTCACCACACACACGCACACACTCATCTAATTTATATATAACTTGTTACCCAGGCTGGAGTGCAATGGTGTGATATTGGCTCACTGCAACCTCTGCCTCCCGGGTTCAAGCTATTCTCCTGCCTCAGCTTCCCATGCCCAGCCTTTAATTTTTATTTAATTTATATTATTTTATCTCTTTTGTGATGATTAATGGAATACAGAGTTTTCAATAATGGAAACATTAAGAACTCATTAATGAACAGTGGCTATTGATTGTCTAGATTCTCCATGAATCCACACTTAACATTGAATTTATGTCCTGTTTAATACCAGACTTATTTCTCCAATTTAGGTCCATAGCACTGATAACTGAGGGATTCTCACAGGTAATTTGGCTTGAGTGACAGAGTTTATTCAAATAGTATATCTAAAAAATTTCAGTTGTAGCATAAAATTGTGGCAGACTATTTTCCTGATGTTTAATTAATTTTTGTTTTGCCTAAATTAGTAGTTTTATAAGTCCATCTCTTCTTTAGAATTCTTACGATCCCTACCCGGTCCAAACAATACAATCCTAAAATTATCAGAAACCTGTACTCACCTTGTCTGGACTTTTTCCATCTTTTCATAAACCTTCTTAAGGACACAATACTTGGCCAGACACAGTGGCTCACGCCTGTAATTGCAGCACTTTGGGAAGTTGAGGTGGGTGGATCACAAGGTCACGAGTTCGAGACCAGCCTGACCAACATGGTGAAACCCATCTCTATAAAAATACAAAAATTAGCTGGGGATGGTGGCGGATGCCTGTAATCCCAACTGCTCAGGAGGCTGAGGCAGGAGAATCGCTTGAACCCGGGAGGCAGTGGTTGCAGTGAGCCAAGATTGCACCATTGCACTCCAGCCTGGGCAACAGAGTGCGACTCCATCACACACACACACACAATCAAAAAGAAACATAATACTCTAGGATTGTGCATGTTTTTGAAGTTTTTAGAAACTTGGCCAGGCGTGGTGGCTCAGGTCTGTAATCTCAGCACTTTGGGAGGTCAAGGTCGGCAGATCACCTGAGGTCAAAAGTTCAGCCTCCCAAAGTGCTGGGATCACGCCAACATGGTGAAACCTCATCTCTGCTAAAAATACAAAAATTAGCTGGGTGTGGTGGTGCGCACCTCTAATCCCAGCTACTTGGGAGGCTGAGGCAGGAGAATCGCTTGAACCCGGGAGGCGCAGGTGGCAATGAGCCGAGATCGTGCCACTGCATTCCAGCCTGGTGACAAAGCAAGACTACATCTGGAAAAAAAAACAAAAAAACAAACAAACAAAAATCTTCTGTAATTTTCTTTTTAATTTACTTAATTAATTTTGAGATGGAGTTTCGCTCTTGCTGCCCAGGCTGGAGTGCAATGCCGCGATCTCGGCTCACTGCAACCTCTACCTCCCGGGTTCAAGTGATTCTCCTGCCCCAGCCTCCAGAGTAGCTGGGATTACAAGCATGTGCCACCACGCCTGACTAATTTTCTATTTTTAGTAGAGAGGGAGTTTCTCCATGTTGGTCAGGCTGGTCTCAAACTCCCAACCTCAGGTGATCTGCCTGCCTCAGCCTCCAAAAGTTCTGGGATTACGGTCCTGAGCCACCATACGCGGCTATTTTAATTTTTTTTTGAGACAAGGTCTCAAAAGGTTAACGTGCAGTGGTGTAACCAATCATGGCTCACTGCAGCCTTAACTTTCCAGGCTCAAGCAATCCTCCTGCCCCCGCCACCCGAGTAGCTGGGAATAAAGGCATGCATTATCATTCCTGGATAATGTATTTTTCATGGAGACAGGATCTTACTATGTTACCAAGGCTGTACTTTAACTCCTGATATCAAATGATTCTCTCATCTCAGCCTGCCAAAGTGCTACAATTACAGGTATGAGCCACCATGTGCTTATGCAATTTATTGAGATTATTTCCAATAATAAACAGTACTATTGGGCACAAATCTAAAAGGAATCTGGCTTCTATTTTAGAAGTGTTACTCTCCAGGATTTAGAGCCCTGGGGAGTGAGTCTCAGCCCAGTCACTTAATAGCTGTGGGTGTTTGGGCAATTTGTTGATGTGGAAGAGTTCTATAAGCCACATATACTCAAAAACAAAACAAAACAAAAAACCAAAAAACAGAATGATTCTGATTGCGCAAGTGGTAGCAATTTTTTATTCTCCCTGTTCTATGCCCATTGCCAGGTACTTTTACAGGCGTTCCCATCGAGATCCAGAATCTGTTTTCCAAACTCCAGATCTGGCTGGCCTTATTTGTTCAAGGTTGTAGAAACCTGTGAACATGACAGTGTGCTAGTTTGAGGCCTAGGCTCAAATGGTTTTAAATGCTTCTAATTGTTTTTCAGAATGCTACCATCTCCATGAAAAAAGCCCACGTTCGCCAGCTAGAGGATAAGATACAATGGGGAGGAGAAGCAAGGTGCCCCTTGTTGACAATCCCAGAAGCAGAAGCTCATGCCCAGAAGCACAGCTGCCTAGTTGACAGGCAGCTGATGATACATGTCTGAAGGAGCTCAGTTGAGGCCAGAAGAATGGCCCCAACAAGCCCTGCCTAAATGGCTGACCATCACGATTATGATCTAAGAAGTTTTGGATGGTTTGTTATGCTGTAAGAGCTAACTAATACAGGTATCCAGTGCAGATAGGATGCTAAAATTTAATGGCAGGTTGATTACTAGTTACCTTCTAACAGTGGGTACCCTAAAAGTGCTGACTTTTTTTCTTGATTTAAAGTTGGATGTTTTGTAATATTGAGAAATAAATAAATACATGTAGACATGTGTGCATGTGATTGGTGCTTATACTCACACATTCCCACAAACCACAGGAGAAAACAGATAACCACAGCCTGACCATTAGGGCCAAGGCCAAATGGCAAAATAAGTTTACCTTTCATCTGTTTTCTCTATATTTATACATTAGAGGTCAAGACTGTGAACATATCTGAAGACACAGAGTTTTTTTCTGCTGTGGACCCATCATCCTTTGTTCACTGCTTGATCTCTGCAACAAAAATGGGAAACAGGTGGCCAGCAGTGGTCTACCTGGGGTTATTTTATTTCTGCTGCCCTCTGTTCTTTCTTTTTTTTCTTTTCTTTCTTTTTTTTTTGAGGCAGAGTCTTGCTCTGTTGCCTGGGCTGAAGTGTAG